CGAATTTATGCAGTTTAGGGTCATTGCAAAGGCAATAACTTTCGCCCCATGTCTTCATAGACCTATGTAAATGAGGGGCGAGTATCTTGTATAAGCTGGGACAGGAGTCTTCAGGTACGATCCAGTCACTAATCGATGGACGACTAACGTCGCACCGCTCACCACGAAAAGAAGCGAACTGGGTTTGGCTACACTTGGTGGTTTTCTTTATGCAGTTGGAGGCATATTCGTTGGAAATAGTTTGGACGTCGTTGAGCGGTAAGAGGTGACCTGGTTGAACCTCGTTCATATTTGATATCTGTTTTGTTACAGCTACGACGCTCGACGAAACGAGTGGACCTACGTGGCACCACTCGGCAGACGGCGTTACGGACTTTCCGTGTCCGTGTTGAACGGATGTTTGTACGCAGTTGGGAGGATCTGATGGCGAGGAAGCTTTGAATATTGTGGAGAGGTGAATGATGCATGATTTCTGTTAAAATGATTGAGCCTTGATTTAGGTTTCATGTAACAATGTTACTTGACGTTTGTCAAAGGTTGAAAAAGAGTTGGTAAAAGTGACGCTCTTCGTTTCAGGTTTGACCCTCGTGTGGGTACATGGGAAACAATTCGCCCGATGTCGACATGTCGCAAATTCCTGGGAACAGCCGTTCTCGATGACCATTTATATGCGGTAGGGGGACAAGATAAGTCCAACTGCCACCTGAATTCGGCCGAGGTATACAACCCAAGCACTAACGAATGGACCGCTGGGGCCGACATGAACAAGCAACGATCTGGTGTAAGTTTGCTGTTTGCTGGAAGATATGAACCATTATATATCTGTGCGAATATGGAAAATTCGAATGATATTGTTTCTAGCTAGGGTTGGTCGTTGCTAATGGAAGATTATATGCTCTTGGAGGGACCGACGGCTCTGCTGACCACGAAACAGTGGAAGTTTTTGATGTTCAAACAAATCAGTGGACAAATCACAGTCGCATGAATGAGGCGTGAGTCATTGTTGATCGAGAACTGTTTTATTTGTGAACTGCACTTTGGGGCGAAGTTATTTGAGATGGGACGCTGCGTCGCGAACCAACAACAACCAGCCAAGCTTTTCGTGTGCTACCTATCACAGTGAACGCCGCGTGAATTGCCAACGATTACGCGCATACTCTCGTTCCGCGATTTGTGTATTGCCTACAGTTCACGTTTCGTAGGGCGATTTTCCTGGATAATCATGCGCTAAAGTTATCAGGCTGTCTGGAAAGCTCTCAGCGTTTCGAGTGTTTCACTTTGAACGATCATAAGCTTTGTCAATACTCATCGGATTTAATCGAAATGAGCACCGCGTGAATCAGCATACTTTTAACCAATGTGACACCTAAATCTTATCAAAGAATAAACTGTGGTCGAGAGTCCACGAAATCCACGAAGGCTTTTTGCCTGGTCCTGATTGATGAAGTATTTTCCAGCAAGGAAGTTCTGAAAATGTTTGAAAAGGTGATAGTCGGTTGGTGAAAGGTCTGGAGAACATGACGGAACCCCCAGTTCGTTCAGTTTATGGATAGTGATTTGTGAAACGTGTGGGGTGAAACGGGCGTTGTCATGCAAAAGAATCGGACCCTTCTGTTGACAAGTGCTGGCTGCAGCTGACGCAATTTTCGGTACATTTCGTCGATTTCTTCACAGTAGGACTCTGCTGTGATGGTTTGGCCTGGTGACAAAAAGTTATAGTGGATCACACCAGCCGATGACCACCACACTGTGACCATAATCTTTTTTCGTGAGGATTCGGCTTTGGAAATTGCCTCGGTGGTTCGTCGGCATCCAACCACTGTCCGGAACGTCTCCTGTTATCATACATGATCCACTTTTCATCACAGGTGACAATTCGGTCCAAAAACGGGTCGTTTCTGTTGCGCAAAAGCAGTGAAGAAGAAACCTCGAGACGTGCCAATTTCTGCCGGTCACTCAAATTGTGGGGCACCCACTTGTCGAGTTTTTTCACCTTCCCAATGCGTTTCAGACCATCCGCAACAGATTTGCCAACGCCTAGCTTTTCTGCAATCTCTCGAACTGTTTGGGATGGGTCAGCCTCCACAAACGCCTTCAAATCCTCGTCAGGTATTGCTTTAGGTCGACCGCTACGAGGTTCATCTTCAAGGCTGAAATCTCCAGAACGAAAATTGAACCATTGTCGCACGGTGCTTTCTCCAACACTATTGGGCCCCCACACCTGGTTAATTTGTCGAGCTGTCTCGACTGCGGATTGACCCAATTTTTAGTTGAAGAAAAATATCGTCCGAAGTTGCTCTTTTGACATGCTTCAAAAAGTCTTGGGAAAAGGGGGTTTATCAAGCAATGGTGAAACGGCAATTATACCATCAGATAGCGCAAAAATTCTCTTCAGGATGTACTACTGAGACGCAAGGGAGAATGAGTTTTTAATCAGCAGTGAATGTACAAAAAATAGGTGCACAAAACGCTGAGAACTTTCCGGACAACCTAATATAATCGTCAAATATGAGTTCAATGTGTCTTACTTAGCTCCATTCCCTTTGTTCTTGAAGCGAGGCTGACCTACTGAATATGAATATTACACCCGCTTGGCACTAAACCCTCTGGCGCTCGCCCCACAGGCTCCAGGCCAATATATCCTGAAACACAGGCGCCTGTGGCGCGGGCGCGAAGAAGTTTCGAACTAAGTAAATATGATATTCGTATTCAGGAGCACAGTCCACCTCAGGAGACAGTATTCAAGGCGATGTCTACAGAGGAAAGATCCGGTTGGAAACTGGCTCAGGCCAGTATGGTTGAGGCAGTAAAGGGTGAATAGTGCCTCTTTTTGGAACAGCACCACAGTTATTGATCTTCAAACGATAACGCATGACCAACACAATCAAAGTAGCATTCCTTGAGTTGATTTGTTTCTGTGTTCTGTTATTATTGGTTGTTGCCACGGTACAGATTCCACAAATTGCCTGAATCTGCGTGTTAATTTCCCTGCACAGATGGGCCTCATAGAATCATAATCATAATGCCCAAAACTTCCCTAGCCTTTCCAGGATGGTTGATAAGTTGGACTGTTTTCTAGACTCATGTATGAAAGTGGAACTGAGTTTTCAGTTTTTCATAATAAACCGAAATGGAAGGGAAACAAGTGCGAAGAGCCTGTGGCACAAAGACTGACGATAGGTAGGGTTCGTGAATTGCAGACAATTCACGGGCGCGGAGAGGGAGAGAGCGCAAACGGGAGTCGCAGCAAAAACACCGCGGCGTTCAATGTGATATCTTGTTTTCTTATCTTTTAGGTGTATGAAGTGGGAATCTACAGTCCAAGGAGTAGCACACTGGTAAGGCGTGCTAGGCGGCGTGGATTGAACCCAGCCGCATCTGTTTCCTACGAATAGTTGCCCATGAACTAGAATGTTATGGAAAACGCGGCCGACACTGGGCCCCCATTTTGGTCATTTGAGGTAGCGTTCAGACGTCGCGGTAACGCGCACCGATGCGCTGCAAAGCGCGACAGTGCGCTGTGACGCTGTAGATTACGACAGCGTTCCAGTCTCATAGACGCGAGCGCAGCTGCAGACGGCAATCGGTCGCTGCTCCCCGTATATTGGAGGTGTACAGTCCTCATCATTGCGGACCGGTGGGGCGTGTCAGCGTGTCAGCCAGAAGGAGTGCGCACACTGTTGAAGCCGTTCTCAGCCTTTTTGTTGCAACGCGTATGCGACAAAAAGTGGTAGAAAACGAGTAATACGAAGGATATTATACAGTAATGCACTTGTTCGCTTCAAAAACTGGTGCAGAACGACTTTGCCAAACCGCACCAAATGCAGCCGCACTGCCACGCCCCACCGGTCCGCAATGATGAGGACTGTATGAGGGAAATGGAGGGTACGCCCTGCTTAATCACGCAGTCTAGTATCGATCGGCTTTCGCCGAAGGCGACGCTGATCGATTCTCGTGTGTGGCTGCATTCATGTCTGCAGGACTGGAACGGCGCTGCAATTGTAGCGCGTTACAACGCGTAGACGCGCTTCATCGCGAAGTAAAAGCTGCCTGACACGCCTATCCAGTATGACGCGTCATGGTCTGTAATTCGTTTTGCTGTTCATGAGATGACGCAGACAAAGAGACATGATATCCTT